AAAAAGTAGTAAAGGATCTGTGATCTGTGGACATCTGGTATATGAGTGTTTAAATTTTTTTAAATTTCTGAATTAAGTATTGGACCACTTTCTATATACTGTTGTAAATTGCTTTATCACTTGACATTGTATTGAAAACATTTTACATTGATAAAAATGTAAATATACACTGAGATTCTTTCTTCTTTGTCTGTCTCTCCCCTCCCTCACTGTGTTTGTTCGTTTGTTGTTGAGATGGCTGTCTCATGTGGTATCACAGACTGACCTCAGACTGGACATGTAGCTGAGGATGACCTTAAGCTCCTGATTCTCCTGCCTCCAGCTCCTAAGTGCTGGATTATAGGAGTGTGCTACCATTCCTAGCCATACACTGGGATTCTTTTTTATTTTATTTATTGTGTGCTTGTGTACACACACATGGGAACATGTCACAGTGATTATGTGGTGTCAGAGAACAACTTGGTGTGGCAAGTATCTTTGCTTGCTGAGCCTTCTCACTGACCCTTTCATTAAGATTCTTAAAAGAGCCAGGTGGTGGTATCGCATGCCTTTAATCCTAGCATTCAGGAGGCAGAGGCAGGCGAATCTCTGTGAGTTCAAGGCCTGCCTGGTCTACAGAGCAAATTCCAGGACAGCCAAGCCTGCACAGAGAATCTATCTCAACACCCCTGGCCCCCAACAATGGACACAGATGCTAGTGTACATAGCACAATCAAACTTGTAAGATTGGCCTTTAGATTTTATATGTGGCATATTGGTTTGTATTGGTGCTAAGGATTGGATCCAGGGTGTCATACATCCCAGGTAACGTGTATGTGCCATACACATCACTGAGCTGTTCTCTAGCCCCTAAATATTCTTTTCAAAATTTATAGGCAGCATTGAGTCAAGTTAATGTTAATCAATCATGTTAATGGATCTTTGTCCAGTTTTTCATAATACAGTTGTTCACATCATATTGTACATGTTCATATCATCAATGATTCAAATATTTCCTTCAGATTTACCTCTGCCAAATGGAAACAATGAAGAACCTGATTCTCCACCTGCAAAGAAAAAAAGAACGGGCTTTTTCCAGACTTATGATGCAGAATATATAAAATTTGGTTTTATTATCTGTTCTGGATCAAAGGAAAGTTCACCAAGAGCACAGTGTGTCATTTGTGGAGAGATCTTACCTAGAGAAAGTGTGATGCCAGTGAGTCTCTCTAACCACTTGAAGGCAAAGCATTCTGAGTTAGAGAACAAGCCAATAGACTTTTTTGAGGAAAAATCACTTGAAATGGGATGTCAAAACAGTTCTTTAAAAAAGTGTTTACTAGTTGAAGAGTCACTTGTGAAAGCTTCTTATTTAATTGCTTTCCAAATTGCTGCCAGGAAGAAGCCGTTCTCAATTGCTGAAGAATTAATTAAACCGTATTTAGTAGAAATGTGTTCAGAAGTTTTGGGTTCAAGTGCTGGGGACAAAATGAAAAGCATCCCTCTTTCTGCTCACACAATTGGGTGCAGGATCAACAGACTGGCTGCAGACGTTGAAGACCAGCTGATTCAGAAGGTCAGAGACTCCAAGTGGTTTGCCCTTCAGATAGACGAGTCAGCAGAGGCCTCAGATGTCACCCTTCTCCTGTGCTGTGTCCGCTTCATCGACTACGACTGTGGTGATGTGAAGGAAGAGTTACTGTTTTGTACTGAGATGTCTTCTCTGGGCACAGACCTTGAAGTGTTTGAACTAATAAATACATATATTGATAGTAGATCTCTGAATTGGAACCATTGTGTTGGTCTCTGTACTGATGGGGCCACAAGCATGACTGGTAGATGGTCTCGTTTAAAGTCAAAAATTCAAGAAATTGCCAAGAGTACAGTGACATTCACACATTGTTTTATTCACCGTGAGCACTTAGCAGCTGAAAAACTATCTCCATGCTTACATGAAATTCTTTTGCAGTCAGCACAGATTTTAAGCTTTGTAAAGAACAGTGCCTCAGATTCACAAATGTTGACAGTTTTGTGTGAAGAGACAGGATCGGAGCATGTGAATTTACCACTTAATGCTGAAGTTCATTGGCTGTCGAGAGGGAGAATTTTAACAAGATTATTTGAACTGAGACATGAAATTGAAATACTTTTAAATCAAAAGCACTCAGATTTGGCCAGGTATTTCCATGACAAGGAATGGGTTGCAAAGCTTGCCTATTTAGCAGATATGTTTTCACTTATAAATAAATTAAATTCTGGTCTCCAAGGGACCATGGCTACTCTTTTCAATTTGTATAATAAAGTTGATATATTTAAGAAGAAGCTAAAAACATGGTTAAAGCGCACACAAGAGAATGATTATGATATGTTCCCTTTATTTTCTGAGTTCTTAGACTCATCAGATGTAAGTGTGAGAAGCATCACTAGCATTATTGTTGAGCACCTAGAAGGACTTTGTCAGATTTTCCATGACTGTTACCCACCAGAAGAGGACTTGCGTTTGGGAAATCTGTGGCTCATTGATCCCTTTGCCAGTCACCAGAATAACAACCTCACCGACTCTGAAGAAGAAAAACTAGCAGCGTTGTCTTCAGATACGAGCTTACAGTCAGCTTACAGATCAATGACTGTAACTCAGTTTTGGGTAAGCGCAAAGACAAGTCACCCAGAACTCCATGAAAAGGCAGTGAAACTCTTGTTGCCCTTTTCCACCGTCCGTTTGTGTGATGCTACCTTTTCAGCCTTGTCTGCATCGAAACAAAGGAACCTGCTGGGTTTTGGTCCTGCCCTAAGACTTTCAGTCACATCATTAATTCCAAGGATAGAAAAGTTAGTAAAGGAGAAAGAGTAGTATCCATATTGCTTATTGTCAGAGTCTTTAATTTTGTGTTAAATTTTGTATAAGTATCCTAAAATACGTTTGCTAATGTATTTGTATTTTCAGTGATTAAATGTTTTAATAATTTTTCCTTTGTTGTAGAGGGATTTAAGAATTATGGAACTTAAACATAATTATGTATAATTTTAATAACACAAGGGAGAACATTTAGCCTTTATATTGGTGATTGCCGTTGGAGTTTCAGAGGAAATGTCTTGTTTAGAGAGTTTCCCAAGAGACCAGGCCAACCCACTTGTCCCAGTACATAAGTGAGAGGTAAGCATTGGTGAAGGGCAGAGAAAGATTGGGTTGGCGGAACCAGGTTGAGAAGAACAGGTTATGATTCAGGGATCCTACCTCAGCACTTGGTTTTGTTACGTGCTTTGAGACAGCGTCTCTCTCCATAGCCCTGGCTGTCCTGGAACTCATTATGTAGACCAGGCTGGCCTCGAACTCAATCCCACTGCCTCTGTCCACCCATCCCCCAGTGCTGGGATTAAAGGTGTTCAACACAATGCCGGGCTCCCACCTTAGTCTTGAAGGGGCTAATGTGGACTTTGAGCTATCATAGAAAAAGGAAACCGTGGAGGGTTGGGGTGTGCCTGACAGGGTCCTCTTGGTGAGGCTAGTAATCTTACTGGAGAAGTTCCCACTGTCCTCACTTTGGGGGAGCAGTCTGGTCTCTGTGAGATGACTGCTCCAGGGTACAGCTTCACCATAATGGCAGTTGCCCTCATTTGAAGTGTGTCCTGCCCTGCCGGGCTCCCTGTTGCTTGGGGCTAGTTTTGGTCCTTCACTGTACATTATGTTTATGGGTCAGTTCTGCCTTTCCCAGAATTCAAGGTAATTCCAGGAGAAAGTGACTCAGGTAAAAAGTGGCCAAACAGAGCCAAAGGGGGACAAAACAGAGTTAAGTTAGGGCAGCAACCAGTGCTCTCCTTTACGACCAAGTACGCAGGTGCCAAAGGCCACATGACAACATCATGGCACAGCTTCACGGTTGAGTTTGCTTTTAAACAAATGTGGAGAGGTTTAGCCGGCCAAGTCAGATGTATAGATGGCAAGCAGAGCCAAGCAGGTTCCCAGCCGGAAGGAGAAGCAGCAGGGGTGTCTGAAGGCATAATTTGGGGGCTGCTTCTAGGCCAGGGTTTGGGATTTTTTTTAAAAAATTATTATTATTGGAGACCAGGCTTTGCAATGTAGTCACTGGCCTGGTTCCTTTTTTGTTTGTTTTTGAGACAACGTTTCACTATGTAGCTTTGGAGCCTGTCCTGGAACTCACTCTGTAGACCAGGCTGGCCTCGAACTCACAAAAGATCCACCTGCCGCTGCCTCCTGGGTGCTGGGATTAAAGGCTGGCATCACCAACGCCAGACTCCTAGTTCTTACCATGCTAGCATTGAGCTCCAGGCAGTCTTCAAGCCTCATTCTCGCCAGTGTTGGGATTACAGGTGTGTTCCATCACTCTTGGCTGTAGCCGACTTTCATAAAAGGTCACTAAGTATTCTGTGGCTCAATCACAGACGGTATACAAACGTACTGTTGAGCAAGATGTTATTTTTATATAATTTCCAACTATTGTGAAAATTCCTTGAACATTGTTGAATCATTTTTAGATTATTATTACTAATGTTATTAATATTTACCTTTTTGGTGTGTGTTAAAATACTCGACAATTGGTCAAATTTGGCCCTTTCTTTGCTGATCCAGGCAAGTAAGTAAGTGAATCTTTAAACATCTTTCACATTTTTATTTCAGTTTAGCGATGAGAAGGGCAGATATTTTAGGCATAGGTAGACAAGAAAAACTTGTAGTTACTGGTCACTGCTTTATTGCGCATTAATTGTATGGTTCACAGATGTACAAGTTACTTTCTGAAGGCCAGTGTGCAACTTCCTTACAGAAGCGAACCCGGAGGCACACGGGGTTGGGTGGTGTCAGAGTCCTCCGGCATGGGTGGGCTCAGAGGCTGGGTCACGTGGCCACGACCGGACCGCCAGCTCGGGCTTACAGAGGGGAAGCCTAAAGTCGGCTGGGGGGTTGGGGGGCAGGGGGGCAGTGGGCGGGTCGGGGGCAGTGGGCGGGTCTGGAAGTTGGAGGCCTACGGGGTGGGCGGGGCGGGGCAGGCGACTGCCGCCTTCCGGGCCCGGAGGGCGGGGGAGGAGACATACGCGGCTATGGCGCTCGTGCTCGGCGCCCTGCGTCTCCTGCTCGGCGTCTTCTTCGCGCTCACCGGGGCTGCTAAGCTCTTGCAGGTCTCGGCCCCCGTGTCACAACAGATGGTGAGCGGCGCGGCAGGGGCGCGCGGGGAAGGACGGGAGTGCTCGGTTCCCGCGGGCTGCTTGCCTCCGGGCGCCAGGGCGCCTAGGCCTTCCCTGGCGTTCTCCGCACCTTCTCCAGGTGGGAGGAGGCGGGACTTACACTCTTGGCCCAGCATGCTGTCCCCAGGCCAATTTAGAGCTGGAGAAATGATGGGACCCGGGGGTCCAGGAGGATGAAGTGGGAAGGTGACTGAGCACCCCTCCCCATCCTACACTCATCACTCAATGTTCCAGTTTGGGGGGGGGGGGGCTAATGAGGCAGGAAACCCACAATATAGACCAGGCTGGCCTCGAACTTGCAGAGATCCACCTGCCTCTGCCTCCCAAGTGCTAGGATTAACGGCTTGCACCACTTTAGAAATCTCCTTTCGTAAGCTTGGAAGCTAGCCGTGAAGGTAAAATGTAATTTGCCGAAAGATCACAGCTAGTCAAGCAAGGCCCAAGGTAGACTAACCTATCCAAGACTCCACAGCGTCCCGGGAAATATGGGATGGAGTCCTGGAAGTCACTTGACTGTAGTTCCTTATCATGAGAAAGTCCACCAATACTGCCAGGCTCTGCGGAAGACTCCTGTTACCTCCTCCCAAAGCTTGCATACTCCTCCCCGACCCCAACCTGAGGTGGTGGTTTTTGGGGGGCAGACAGCTTAAACTCTCTGCAAGTGTGTCCCATCGGTGGCCCTTGGGCCACATATACTCCAGGATGGCTGTCAAATGTAGCCCGATATTTATTTTAAAATAAATTTAAATTTAAAACGTGATTTATTAAAAAACTCAGTTGTGGGCTTCTGGAGCAGCTTTGTGGATGAGAACATTGTGTCAGAAGACACACTGGAGTGCAGAGTAGGAGAAAGAGTGCTGCTGGTGGTCCGTAGGAAGCAGTCCCGAGGGTGGAGCTGGCCCAGGGAAAGGTCTGGGTGCGATGGATTGCTTTAGACTCCCTCGGCTGTTGCTCATGTGTGCCACAGTGGGATCAGGACCTGCACAGGAGATGGAAAGTGGAAACCATTCTTTAAGGAGCCTTTCCATCCCATCTCTAAATGTTCCGCGTGAAGAGGAACTAGGCCTGGCACAAAGGATCTGCGGCCTTTCCCAGGCCCTAGCCCTAGATGAGAAGGCCCAAGCCCTGTTCCCTTTCCAGGGATTTGAGGCTGGGTTATCATCTATGGAGAGGTATGGTGAGGAGAGAAAGCCATTTCTACACCTGTGACCCTTTTCGCTTGTGGAGTGTCTGCTCCTGATTCCAAAGGTCATAGGGTGGCCCCCTCCTCTCCAGGCTCATCTTAACCTGCATCTGGCCTGTGGCTTTGTTAGGGGAGCGGATGACAGGCAGCGGTGGTCTCTGTGGTGCCTCCAGGCACTGCATCTCTGAGGAACACAGCTGACAGGCATTCCCTGCCACTCTAGAGAGCCTTGTTCGAGCAGTTTGCTGAGGTGTTTCCATTGAAGTTGGTCGGCTACCAGCCAGATCCTAGAAACTACCAAACAGCTGTGGGCTGGCTGGAAGTGCTGGCTGGGTTGCTGCTGGTCGTGGGTCCACCTTCGCTCCAAGTGATCAGTAACCAGTTCTTGATCCTGCTCATGATGGGTAAGGGGGTACCTGGGTCTCCTGGGGATGACAGAAAGAGTTAGCCGTCTTTCCTTACTGCTGCCCTCTTTTTTTCCTCTGGGACCAGGAACACTTCCTGCCCGACCAATAGCTTCCATAATATTGAGACCAGGTGTTTTTGAAATGTCATGGACCATATCCTGGCCATTGTAACACAGTAACATGCTTTCCCTATCATTTCTGTGGCCGCATAGTGTGAGTAGTGTAACCTCAAGAGCTCCTCCTCCTCCTTCTCCATGCTCCCTTCCTGGAGGGAGTGGAGCAGCAACCACCACCTAATGTATATATGTACCTGGAGCAGGGGTTCTCAACCTTCCTGCTCCTGTGACCCTTTAACACAGTTCCTCGTGCTGTGGTGACCCCCAACCATAAAATTATTTTCATTGCTACTTCAGAACTGTAATGTTTGCTACTGTTATGAATCGTAATGTAAACATCCGTGTTTTCCTGTGGTCTTAGGTGACCCCTGTAAAAGTGTCACTTGATCCCCAAATAGAGTCATGACCCACAGGTTGAGAACCTCTGCTCTTACAGATGTGGGAGCAGCCAGCAGGAAAGCTGGAGTCCCCTGACCAAGGAGGCAGAGAATTTCTCTAGGATGCACTCTCTCAGAAGCTCTGCCAGTTGAAGTACCTGCCCGGGCAGGACGACAGGTGCTGTGTCAAAGGCTAGACACTCTTGTGCTGTTTTGCATCCCCTGGCCAGCGCCACATTATTGCCACTAAAACATTCTTTCCATTTCTAAAGCCATCCACATTTTCAGATCATTACCACACTTCCACCTCAAGCCCCTGAGCCCCATTTTGAATTCTCCAGTAGGATTATTATTATTAAGAAAGAGTTGAGCCGGGCGGTGGTGGCGCACGCCTTTAATCCCAGCACTCGGGAGGCAGAGGCAGGTGGATCTCTGTGAGTTCAAGGCCAGCCTGGACTACCAAGTGAGTTCCAGGAAAGGCGCAAAGCTACACAGAGAAACCCTGTCTTGAAAAACCAAAAAAAAAAAAAAAAAAGAAAAAGAAAAAGAAAGAGTTGGGGGAAAGCTAGTTTCCATATCCCTACTTCCCACCTTGACTCTCCCCTCTTCTGGGGCCCGTGTATTTCTTGAGGCTTCTAATTCTTTGTCCTGCTTCCTGGAAGAGGTGTGAGGGGTGTTTAATGGGAGGGCCCGAGCTGGAATGGGTCAGCCTGGACTGGAACCCTTGAGTTGTTGGATCTTCTGGATGTTCATTCTTTCTGTTCTAGGGGCCATCTTCAATTTGGTGGTTCTGAAAGAGTCGCTGAGGACCTACATCCCAGCCGCTGTCTGTTTGGGGCTGCTGTTGCTGCTGGATACCTGCCAGTTCTTAGCTCGAACTAAGAGGGTGGTCAGACGCCGCCGTAGCAAGAAGATTGCTGGTGCAGCCTGGAAGTCTGGGAACTGAGTCTTCATGCATTTACCACAGCAGGAACAGTCGCACAACAGTGTCTACCACTTTGTTAGGCCCACATTCATTCAGTGTAAAAGAGGTACCTTGTCTAGGTCCCAGTCTCCCCTCATAACTATGTTGCCCTGTTTCGAGTGGGGTGTTAGCATTCTTCATGTCATGTGAAAATAGGAAATAAGCAGAAAAGAAACCAAAACCACCCCAAATTCTAATACCCCATACATAAATAATCATTTCATTTGGTATAACTGTACCTGTTGACTTTTTTATGATTATATACAGATTAATTTTTTTAATGAAAATGAGACAGTATAGCCTGTTTTATTGTCTGCTGTTAAGAGCCAGTGTTCTGCCAGGCAGTGGTAGCACACGCTAATCCCAGCACTCAGGGGCCAGAGGCAGGTGGATCTCTGAGTTTGAGGCCCACCTGGTCTCCATAGTGAGTTCCAGGTCAGCCAGGGCTATACAGAGAAATCTTGTCTAGAAAAGCCAGAAGAAAAAAAGATCCAGTGTTCTTCAACATTCCCTTTTACTTTTATCAACGTTAGTGGCTTTCAGTACTCTATTCTAGGAGTGCCTGGAACTGAGATGAAAAGGTGGCCGAGGTGCTAAGAGCACTTGCTGCTTTTGCAAAGGGACCAGGGTTCAGTTTCCAGGACCCACATGACATCATCTTCTGGCGTCCTGGAGCACCAGACATACACATGGTACACACAGACACACAGATATATATACACACACATATATCTGTATATATGCGTACCATGTGCATATACATGTATATATATACATACACACACACACACATATATATGAAAGCAAAACACTTATACACATAAAATAAAAATATTTTTTAAGGATGTGTTCTACTTATTCTATTTCCAATCCTGCCCATGAAGAATATCTGGGTTGTTCTTTTTTTTTTTTTAAAGTAAAACTCACAGTAAATTGCCTCTGCATATTTATTTCCTTTCCCAAGAAATAAGGGTGCTATCTCAAAAAGCATTCACATCTAAAGCATGCTTTAAAATTTACAAGTTGACACTGCAGAGTCGTAAGTGTCTGATTTCTGCCTGTGCTCACCTGAGTCCCTTGAGAGATTTCTTGCCATTTCTCTATTTTACAATTGTAGAGCTGACAGGCACCTGCCGAAATGGTGAGGTGTGGCTCTTAGTCCAACGTCCCTTAACACCTGAGTGTATGTGGGGGGACAGCTAGCTCCTGATAATGCCAAGTGACTCAGCAGTGTCTAACCCTGTGTGTGTGTGTGTGTGTGTGTGTGTGTGTGTGTGTGTGTGTGAGAGAGAGAGAGAGAGGGAGAGAGAGAGAGAATATGAGAATGGGGGTGAGGAGGAGAGGGAGAGAAGGAGGGGGTGATCACTCATGGGAAAACTGTTAGGGCATCTAGTGTCATGTCCTCAGACCATCCTTGCCAGAGTCCACTGGAGTCCTTTTGGGGTGTGATGTTTCTTTCATGAGGGAAGATAGGTAAAAGAATTTATATTTTGCAGTTCTGGAGTGTGAACTCACAGTCTCACTTATGATAGGCAAACACAGTACTCCTGAGCTTGACCCCTAGTTTCTGTTCCAAAACAAGGTATCACTGAGTTGCCCAGGCTGGCCTTGAACTTTGTAGCTTAAATAAGACTTGCACTTAAATCCTCCTGCCTCAGCCTCTCCAGTAGCTGGGATTACAGGCTTGTGTAGTCAGAAGTTTTCCTGTGCCCTGCCTGGTCCTGCAGCCGCTCAGACCCAAATAAACATACAGAGGTTTATATTAACAATTGCATGGCATATGGCAGGCTTCTTGCTAGCTAGCTCTTATAACTTAAATTAACCCATTTCTATTAATCTATGTTTTGCCACATGTTCCATGGCTTACCAGTCTGCTGGCATGTTGTTCCTTGGGTGGCTGGCATCTCTGCCTCTCCTCTCTTTATCTGCTTGGATTTCCACCTGCCTCTAAGCTGCCTTGTCATAGGCCAATGCAGCTTGCTTTATCAACCAATCAGAGCAACACACATTCACAGCATAGAGAAAGACATCCCACAGCAGGCCTGTAGTAGGGCAGGCTGGAGTTTGCGCACGTTTTAGCTGTCTGCCTATAAGATGCTTTGGGTATAGGAATATTAGCTTTAGGGAGCACACAGGTGAAAGCTGTATTATTTCATGCTCAGTACTGAACAGTAGTTCCTGCTGTGCCCTCACTTGCACGAATCCCGGGCGAGCTTATAATTCTTCGTTGGATCTTCTTGTGTCTGAAAGCACAGTGATACGTTCCACCTACAGCAAGGGTGGAGAAATAGATCAATAGGTAGATAGTTCATAAATTATGTGACGGTGTCACAACATTAAGAGGGGTCTGGCGAGATGATTCTGGATAAGGGTGATTGCCACCAATTGCTACCGATGACCTGAGTTTCACCCAGGAAGTACATAGTGGAAGGAGAGAAGCAACTTTGGAAGATTGTCCTCTGACTCACACATGCTCTGTGCTATACACATTCTCGTATACTCTCTCCCTCCCACCCTGTCTCAAGGGGGTCCAGAGATGACTTAGTTTCCGTGTTGGTTAATTGGGCTGCTTAATGAGAACATCAAGGACCAATGTAGTTTCAGCTTTTAATGTACTGGCTACTGTCTTCAGTTTTGAAGAATAGCTGCGGTTGCTTCAGGCGGTGTATTTGCACATAATATCCAAGGGTAAATAGAGAATGGGAAGCTCTCTTGGAAAACCCCAGATCATCCCTTGTATCTAATTGGCCACGATGAAGTTACATATCCATACTTAAACCAATCGCTGATAAGGAGAATGGAATTCCCAGAATGGACTGAGACTGACAAAAAATTCACCCATACTCATCACCAAGAAGGCCGGGGGTGGGTGGTGGTGTTAAAGGTGTGTGTTTTTTCTTGGTTTACTTACAGAATATGGAAAATGGCAGAAAACACAGCCTGGTGCATAATAAGTGCTCTTCAGATGCGATTATTCAATCTCTATTTGTTCTATCAATGAGAATATGGGTCTGGAAAGACTGTGTGCCTATGTGTCGGAATGGAGACTAGAACTCAGGCCTGATTGAGTGCAGAACTCAGAACTCAGGTTTTTTTTTTTTTTTTTTTTTTTTTTTTTTTTCCAGTGCTTCAGCTGCCAAGATGAAAATTTACAGGCACAAGACCTGGGATGACCTACCCAGCGTGATCAACTCTTCCTTACTTTCCAGAACCAGCAGTGTGCATGTAGAGCCCATGAAAGCGGATACACCAGGAGCTCCAGCCTCATGCATTACCTGACCTTCCAGGATACCCAGCCTGTCTCCAGCCAGGACGTCGAGTAAAACCTCTTGCAGCTGGCATTGAGGGATCCTGTTTTCCAAGGCGGGTTAGTAATTATGGACTCCAAAGCATGGCTGTGGGGCTGGCCCAGCACCTGTGGGAGAGGCAGGGGGTGCTGGAAGAATGGATAAGCCACCTGGTGTCGAGAAGCAGTTTGATTGACAGCAGCTGAAGCATCTTAAGCCCCAGCAGTGCCTTGAGGAGCCCAGGGAGCCAAGCTCCAGGAAGCCATAGCAGAAGTGTAAGAGCTCAGCACAACTTCCAGCCATTTGGCCTCCTCTCGTCCCCAGAAGACACTCCCAGATCCTGGGGTCCTGGCAGTGCCCCTACAAACCCAGCATGCAGCTACCACATGTGAGTCCTTGTCTGGCTAGCTGTTGGGCCCGTCCTGTACGTCACATTGTGGGACTGACTTGGGAGAGTCTGGTGTATGTGAGTGAGGGGATCTGGCTCAGCTTCAGGTTCCTAAAGCCAGGATCCCAGAGCAAGCTGGAGCAACGAGAACAGTGGCAAAAAGGAATAATACGGCACGATAGCGAGAGGTTTGGGGCGGGGGCTGGGGGTGGGGGACTTCTAGGGACCAGAGCCACGGCAGATAGGCTCAAAGGCAGACATGCAGATTTTGATACTAAAAGAGATTGAGTTCAGGAGCTGAGAGGATATGTATGTGTCAGAAACAGCAAGAGGACCTTGGCTTGTGTGCACACCCCTTAGGGAGAGGGTGAGGCTCCACCTAGATATTTTTGTGCTGTGTGTGGAGTGCTTGTGTGGGTGTGTGCATTTATCTGTGTATTGCCTCGAAGGGACAGAGGGTGAGGTATGAAATCTCTTCCCAGTGTCAGCCACAAGACTCAGAGTTTTACTTGTTCTCTCCTCAAATATCCCCATGGGGTAGTTAAACCTCCATTTTACAGCAGCAAAGACAGTCACTGCCAGGCTGAGAAATTAGCCCAGGACCTCACAGCAAATAAATGTGTGTGATTCCCAGACCTGTGCCCTTCTTGCTTCTTATCCGAAGTTCTGAGTCTGACACAGAACTTCCTTGGAGGTCTGAAGGCTGTGAAGCCTTTTCAGTCCTCCCAAAGGTGCTTCAGGTAGCTCTGGAGCACACCCAGAGAAGATCTCACCAAAGCAGACCAAGGTCAGCGCGCATAGGCCTGTCCAGAGTCCCTACAGCACAGGACCATTCTTCCACCTCTGCCTTACCCCGTTGCCACTGATCTTCTGGGAAGGGTTGAAAGGCTTATATCAGAGTGGTCTTACATCACATGGCTGTGCCTCTACATGTCTGACCTGTAGTCTCCCTGTGAGGGACCTCCCTCCTCCCAGTCAGTCACCAAGGTTGGAACTAGCCACGTTCTCTGGGACTCCGGCCTCTTTCTCATTTCCCACAGCTTGTCACCAAGAACTCTGGAACCCACCCTGTCCTTCATGTCCTCAGCAGCAGGTGCCCTCTCTTAAGGATGGCCTTGCCTCCAGAGTTCTTTCCTAGAAAGGACAGAGGGAGAGGGTACTGACGTGGGAAGGGATGTGAGGGAGGACTTTTGGTAGCTAGGCCTCCTGTGACCTCTTCCTCAGTTTAAGGGATGTTGGTGTTGGCCGCTGCCCCTGGGATGAACTGGCTCACATTGGTCGGTGTTCCTCCATAGCTCAGTAGCCTGTGCTGCTTCGGCTCCACGGCAGATGTCCTGCAGATGCTCAGCCCACACGTGGTCAATCTATGGCTTCTTGGTGCTACTGGTTGGAGACCTGGGCCACCTCCACCTCCTCAGTCTCCTAGCTAGGAAAGCCCTGGCGTACTGCCTGCCACACCCTACTACCATTATCCTGCTAGGATTCAGGGTTGAAGGACATAGATTCCAACTCTTTGTTTTTGTTTGTTTGTCTTATTTTGTTGTTTTATTTTCATTTTTGGAAGACTGGGTTTTTCTACATAGCCCCGGCTGTCCTGGAACTCACTCTGTAGACCAGGCTGGTTTCGAACTCACAGAGATCCACCTGCCTCTGCCTCCCAAATGCTGGGGTTAAAGGTATGCACCACCATTCCCTGCTTAAATGTCAATTCTTAACATTTTCAGGTGAGTGAATGACATCTGGATATCATTAATTTAAAACTTAAGGACTCAGATATCCTGGTGTCTCGTAACTTCTCCTCAAGTATTCCGGGATTCTACAAGCTTGTCCTTTCCTGGTGCATTCCTGACGCAGAGTTAGGATTGCCTCCTCCCACTCTAGCAGGATGCCTGCAACTCTGCCATCACCTCCACTGTTCCAGGACTCCTGTGCCAGGACTTGGTGGAAATCAAGCTAGAGCTCCATCCTGCCATTAGCCGGACGGAGATTGGTGAGGCTAACTGCACTCCGTTTCAGCTGATCGGAGACTCTCAGTGCACATACCTGCCCGTGGCTCTGGCTATAATGCATTTCCTCCGTCTGTGCTTGGACAGCTGAGCCATCTGCTCTTAGTGGGGAAGGAAACCACTCTCTGCTCTTCGCCATGTTGCTGGAAGTCCTACAACAGAACTGTTTGAGTCCCAGGGAGTTCCACTTTAGCAGGCGAGAACAGCAAGCCCATGTTGCCAAAGTCTGTCAGCTCCTCCCGACTCCCTACACCCTCCTGGCCCTCTCACTGAGTTTGCCTCCTAGTGATAAAGTCAGTAAATTCCCTCTCCCCTTTTGATAAATTGCCCCGCGTTGGTCCCTTATTCCTTCTTTAACTTGTTTCTTTATGTTTTAAAAGTAACACATGTTCATGAAAGTAATTCAGAGCAACAGAGAAAAATGTAAAAAATACAGAGTGAAGGTCCCTCAGCGGTAGCCAGGGTTTGTAGTTTATGTGTGTGCATGCATCATTCCAGATGTTTGCCGTTTCGATCAAAGGCACAGGAGCAATTTTTATCAGAAAGCCACAAAGGGGATCGTGCCACAAGACTCTGTAATTTGCTTTCAGTTTATCTTGTGCCGCTCCCCATGTCTACACGGGCAGGGCTCGTTCTTTTTATCACGTTATCCATATTTTACTCAGTGGGCCCCCTAGATGGACATTTGTTTCCACGAGTTTATGCCACAAACAGTGCTGCGTGAATGCCCTTGCTCACAAACCTCTGCATGTTTGTGAATTTGTAGAGCGAATTCCTGGCAGTGAAATTGCTCCGTCACAGAGGATGTGTGTGCAGTTTAGTTGTTTAATAACATCTAAATATTATTAATATCTAATCTACTGTCTCCAAAAACAATGCACTCACAATCACAACCCCACCAACAGTAGGTGGCACTCCCTGCTTTGCCACGCCCTCACGAGCACGAGGTGATGTCACCTGTCTTCTCCAATCTGTACTTTTGTCCTGCTGTGCTAACTTTCTGTTCCTACATCAGATACCCGGGGCTGGAGATAGAACTGAGTGGTAGAGCACACTTGCCTAGGATGCACAAGGGTCTAGGTTCCACCCCTGGGACAGCAAACAAAACAAAAAGAAATAAACAAACATCTCAAGTATTCGAGATAATTGACTCACAAAGAGAAAACACTTAACTTCGTCCTGTGACTGATCTGGCTCCCTTGCACTTGGTGCTGTGGTCAGGCAGCGAGCGTTTATCATGGAGGAGGAGCATATCACGGAGTAAAATCACTCACTTCATGGCCAGGAAGCCAAACAGAAACAGGAAGACAGACATCAGGGGATCTTATGCTCCCCTTCAAGGGCATGTTGCCAACAACCTCAAGACCTTCCATCAGGCCCCATCTCTTAAAACTCACACAGACCCCATCTTCTGTGTGAGTCAGCTTCCCTTTCCTGGATCAAAATCCTTGAGTGACTCGACTTACAAATGGAAAGGTTTCTTTTGGCTCACAGTTTGGAGATTTTGGTCCATGGCTTGGTGGGCCTCTTGCTTGTGGATCTGTGGCAAGACAGCATGTAATGATGGGCAGGTCTATGGCAGGAAAAGCAGAGCTAGGGGAAACCCTTCCCCCATGCACAGTTCACAAGGGAGGATGGGGTGGAACCCCACGATCCTCTTTGAAGGGATCCCCGACATCATGAACCTCTGACTCGGCCCCACCTCTTACGGTTTCCATCATTTCCCAAGGGCACTATGCTGGAGCGCTCATCTTTAAAACGTGAGCCCTTGGGAGAGGTCTTAGATACAAACCACAGTCCCTCCCAGTGTTGCCACATGGGGCAGCAAACCTTCAACACAGGGCTGATCTAGTTTACTTTCCATTGCTGGGACAAATGCCATGACCAGAAGGAACTTAAGGAACAAAGAGTTTATTTCAGCTTACAGGTTAGAATCCATCGTCAAGGGATGGTTTCTAAAGCAGGGACATGGAGGAAGGCTGCTCAATGGCTCGAAGTCCTAGGCTCTTTCTGCTAGCTTTCTTTTATATTTTTAAGACTTATTTGATACATATGAGTGTTTTGCCTGCATGTACAACAACTGCGTGCCTGGTGCCCACAAAGCCCTTGGATTGCCAGGACCTAGAGTTAGAGATGATTGTGAGTCATACATGCTCTTAACTGCTTAGTCAACTCTCCATCCCTTTAAAAGAATTATTTGTGTGTGTGTGTGTGTGTGTGTGTGTGTGTGTGTGTGTACCATGTGTGTAGGAGCTTGAAGACATGAGAAGAGGGGATCAGATCCTGTGGAGTGACTGTGTGGGTGTCCTGAGAGAGCGATGAGCACATTTAGCTACTGAGCTATCTCTGCTGCCCTCTGCTGGCCATCTTGTATAGCCCAGGCCCACCTGCCTAGGGATAGTGCTGCCTACAGTGGGCAAGGCTCTCCACGCTAGATAGCAATGGACAAAATGCTCATAGAATTGTGCCTACAGGCCAATCTGATATTGGTAATTCCTCAACTGAGGTTCCTTCTTCCTAGGTGTGTCAAGTTAACCACCAAGATTAGCCATTGCTGGGGTCTTGGAGGGACATTTCAGGTCCAAACTGTAGCAGTGCCTCATTCTTCTACACAGATCTGAACACATCTGCCTCCCAGCTATGAACAGAGTTAACTGGCTTTCTGTTTTTGGATTTTCAAGACAGGGTTTCTGTGTGTATCCTTGGCTGTCCTGGAACTCACTCTGTAGACCAGGCTGGCATCGAACCACAGAGATCTGCCTGCCTCTGCCTCCCAAGTGCTGGGATTAAAGGTGTGTGCCCCCACTGCCCGGCGAGTTAACTTTTTATTTCTCTTTCCTTGAGGATGTCTCAGACTCTTTGATATATATTTGGAACCTGGTGAGTGGGAAGAGGAAAGATCTCATCTGTGCCCCTCACATCAGTCAACACTTAGCCCATCCTGCTTGTTGGGAGAATTAAATGAGAGTCCAAAAGCATACCACTAGACCAAATTAGTATCGTCAGTTCTCAACCCTTCCTTGGGAATCAAGCTGGCTCATGCCAGCATCTCAGCCCAAGGCCAAGAGACAGCTGAGGCCCCCAACATCCTGAATTCATTTGCTCACGCCCCGATGAATTGCTCAGCCCCACAGGCCACGCAAGGCTGGCTCTTTGAGAAATGACCTGGCATCCACACCAGGGCCAGCTGAATCTCCTGAGGCTGAATTCAATTCTGTCCGAATAAAAGATGATTCCCGTTGGCCTCATCCATCCCTGTGGTCTTGTACTCTCATGCTTTTGATGTAACATTTCCCCCAGCAATGTAGTCAGTTTCCGTTGGGAAATGTCCAAGTTACGCTTCTGTGTCTGGCCTGCGGAGGAAAAAGAACTTGAGAGTCAGTTGCCTCTGGGAGGTCAGACACAATGGAAAGAAATCCTCTGGCTAGAATTACCGTGTGTGTGGATCCCCTCCTCCCTCCAGGTCAGCTCAGGAAAGAGGGAATGGGATGGATACCCAGAGGCAAGCACCCGAGAGAGGATGACAGACTGGACCACGGTGCACTGTCAGTCCTTTGGGACTTAGTCCCCAGACTTTACCCAAACTTTCAAAAATTTGACCCAAGACCCTCCTTCGGTTAAAGGAGAAGAATGGAGTCAAAGTTGCTGTTTGATTTGAGGCTGGACACTCCTTCCCCCAGAATTCAGGGGAAAACTCACCTGCCCACATCTTCAGTAGCTGCCGGTTAGATCTCCTGCTCCTTTGAAGAGCCAGGAATGTTCAGTCCCTCCCTTTGCCTACCCAGGATGCTCTCCACCGTAGGAGTGGACATGGTGTGGATATAAGCTGCTCCTGGCATAGAGAGTGTTAGGCACCAAAGAAACCTGGAACAAGTGGCTGACTGAGGTGCCTATTAACCATATCAAAGTGGAGCTGGGTGTGGTGGCGCATGTTTTTAATCCCAGCACTCAGGAGGCAGAGGCAGGAGGATCTCTGCGTTTGAGGCCAGACTGGTTTACCAAGAGTGAGTTCCAGGACAGCCAGGGCTGCACAGAGAAACCCTGTCTCAGAAAACAAAAAAACAAACAAATAAGCAACAACAACAAAAAACCAAAGCCAAAACAAACCACAACAAACACATCAAAGCATTGTCCGGCTCTCTCAGCATTGCAAGTACCTGTCACAGAGTTCTGGCTCCTCTTCGCACTTCTCACACATACCGCACCCCCCCTGTTTCCTATCCTAAACCTCTCCAGACCCCGAGCTTTGCTTCTTTCCCCTCAGCTTCTGATTCCTATATAACCCAGCCATTTTGGCCGTCCGCTCGTTTGTTCCTCTCTGTCCCCTCTCTTGTCCCTCTCCTCTTCTTCTCCCCGCTCCCCCACAACCCCCATGACCTGGTCTGTTCTGCTGGCCATGTTCAGTCTGGACTCTTCCTGATGCCTCTGGCTGTTGTCTCCTATCTACAATAAAGACCTTCTCCTCAACCATCCCTAGGAGCAGCCATGTCCTCATTTCATTCAGAGAGAATGAGATCCTCCTGTCTACTGACCTGCTCTCCTTCAGCTCAACCACAGCCCAAGTGTCTGAAACCCAGCCCGACACTATTCCTTCTTTAAATAAAAAAAATTACGTCTGGGTAGGATGTGTGCGAGCAGGTGCCCACATCACAGCACACAGGCGGAGGTAAATCAAGTACTTTATCCACTGAGCCATCCTACCAGTCCCCAACACCACTCTTGCCCTTTGCCAGCACCTGCTTACATATGACCCCTTGGGCCTGTGTGCCAGTGAGGCATCCTCTGTGACCCTGCCTGCCCCTTTTTGAGTCTCGCCTCTCCAGCTCAGGTTCCACCTACTTCTTTGGCCTCTGTAGAGACCTGCTTGGTCGACTCCCTTTGTCATTAGGCCCCACAGCTCTCCCCTTGCAGCTTGTTCTATTTTATTTTATCGAGACAGGTCTCTCTATTATGTGGCCTTGGCCTTCCTGGAACTTTACCATATAGTGGCCTTGAAACTCCGGAGATCTGCTTGCCTCTGCATCCTGAGTTCTAGCATTAAAGGTGGGCGCTCGCGCGTGTGCTGCAGCTGATTTGTTGACACACCCATCTCCCTCTTTTCTGGCCTGAGGAATGGGAGTGTCTCCCCCTCTGAATCCTGCAAACCTGTAACTACAACTGTCCTTTACTGACCCCGAGGCCACCTCCTGGGACTACATCCCAGGCCTGGGGGTTATGACCTCCTATCCAGAACACTCGTTCCTAGCACTCACCCTAGCTGGCTGTCCTGTAGCATCTGTGTCCATCACCCAGTTCTAACAGGCTACTGTCGTTGAACCTTGCTTCCTTGTGGACAGTTCTTAGCAGATGCTTGGTTCTGGAATGTACCTGTGGCTGGGTGCTGCCCTCAGGTTAGTCCTTAGTGCTCATGGGCCCTTGGCGAGAGTACAAATGGAGGCTCACACCCTAGTGTGTAAGCACTTAAAAGCTATGAATTAAGCTGACACGTTGTTAGTTAAAATGTATGCCATATTCCTGCCTTGACAAATACACCTGAGTAATAACAAAATACAACAATATGGGTAAAGCTGTGGTTTTCAGGCTGAAAGACAGCAAATTATCAAAGATGACTGAATTCAATTTTACATGTTGCGTTTAAGCGTTGTATGTGGGTCACATGATAAATTATTATCACAGAAAGTATAACATATTTTAATTTCATTATGTAATTCACCATCATTCATAATGTGAGTTTTTTTTAAACCACTCTTTCAAGCCACATTTATATTCATACAAAAATGTCTCAGATCATTCTTTTAAATTTTAACAATGAACTCTTTATATATATATCAGCAAATGACAGTTAACTGCTAAATTGTTCAGATCTCTCTTTAATCAAGATTACACCTCAATCTATAGTCTCTATAGAAATCAGTTTGAGGGTTGGGGATGTTTAGTTGGTAGAGTGTGTGAAGCCACGGCTTCTATCCTGGGCACACACCAAATAAGCTTGGTGTGGCAGCATTTTCCTGTGATCTCAATGCTGGAGTGTTGGAAGCAGGAGGAACAGGAATTTGAAGTTGTTATCGGCTGGATTGTGAGTTTGAGGTCAATAGATAGAACCTTGTCTTTAAAAAGAAAAAATTAATATGAGATCATCTGCCTGTGAGTTTGCTGTTTCCCACTTTTTTGTCTTTTGAGACTAGGTCTCACCATGCAATCCTGGCTGGCCTTGAACTCACAGACATCTACTTGCTCCCGCTTCCCAAGTGCTAGGATTAATGGCCTGTGCTGCCAAGCCTGACCTACTTGTGAGTTTTACTCATTGTCATATAAATATTTTCCCTTTGTTCTAATTGCCTTATAGTTTATTAAAGTTACAATTTGGTTGTATATTCTTTTCTTTTAAAAATTTTTGGTGTGTACGTTTTCAAATATTCACCCATGAATACATCTTGGTGAGTTCAAGCACACACATGTGCCATGAAGCACATGTACAGGTCAGAGGGCAGCATCCAGCGTAGGTTCTCACCTTCCTCTTCATTTGAGACAGGGTCTGTTTGTTGTTTGTAGCTGCGTCTGTATGCCGAGCTCACTGGCTCCCAAGCTTCGGGCATCCAAACATTGGGAGAGGACTTGGTAGAATACTTGTCTAGCAAGGATAAAGGTCTGGGCTTGATCTCCAGCTGTGTGGTTGTGAGCCTTGCACTTTTGAGGTAGAGCCAGAAAGATCTGAAGTTTGTGGTCATCCTTGAGTGCATAGTTCATGGCCATCCTGGGCTACATGAGACCCTGTTTCAAATGAAAAAAAGAAAGCAATTGGGCTGGAGAAATAGCTCAGAGGTGAAGAGCACTGACTGCTCTTCCAGAGGTCCTGAGTTCAATTCCCAGCAAACACATGGTGGCTCACAACCATCTGTAATGAGATCTGGTGCCCTCTTCTGGCCTGTAGGCATATATGCTGTATACATAATAAATAAAAAAAATTTAAAAAAAAAGAGCCGGGCGATGGTGGCGCAGACTTTAATCCCAGCACTCGGGAGGCAGAGCCAGGCGGATCTTTGTGAGTTCGAGGCCAGCCTGGACTACCACGTGAGTTCCAGGAAAGGCGGAAAGCTACACAGAGAAACCCTGTCTCGAAAGACCAAAAAAAAAAAAAAGAAGAGAAAAGAAAAGAAAAAAGAAAACAAAAGGTAATACAAAACAGCCAAAACAACAAAAAGCAGGTGGAGATCTTCTGAAGCCGTTAGATGCTTAGACACAGTGGGATGAAATGAGGCCTGATGGAAAGACGGAATCGCCTCAAGATATCTGCCAGTCTGAAGCTGCAGTCAAAGGAGAGATGGGGAAAGCTCAAGTATTTTTGCTTTGTTTGGAGACAGGGTTTCTCTGTGTAGCCCTGGCTGTCCTGGATCTCGCTCTGTAGACCCACCTGCCTCTGCCTCCCGAGTGCTGGAATTCAAGGCGTGTGCCACCACTGCCGGCCACACTTGGCTTTCTTTATAGGTGCTGGGGATCTGAACTCAGGGCTTCTTGCTTGCAGAGCCAGCCCTGCATTGAGTGATCTCTTCAGTCCCTGAATGTCTTTTATATAGAGATGTGTATGGATTTTTAAATTTATTCTACAAGTGTTTATGCTATAGAACAGAGATCAGAGTCTCTAGGTGTAGGGAAATGGTGCTGATGATCAAGGGAATAAAGAGACAATATAAATGGACCTAGCAATGATGCTGTTATTGGAGTAATAAGACAGGGCTCTAAATAACTATAATTAATTTAAATGATCAAAGAAAATATGGACAAATGAATGAAAATAAATACTTTTAACAATGAATTCACAAAAGGGATTCAAATGACCTGAGAACTACAGAGAATGTAAGTTTGGCAGGATTCTTTTACAGCAGGGCAATAGGCAATAAATAGAATTAACTCTTTCATAATTTCTCCTAGTCCAAACCCTATGTATCGAAATTAGCAAGTGCGAGGATGCAGCTCAGTGACAGAGCACTTGCCTAGCATGTGCAAAGCCTGCAGTCAGTCCCCAGTGAGAGGAGGGGAGGAAGGAAGGGAGGGAGGAGGGAGGGAGGGAAGAGGGAGGAGGAAGGGAGGGGAGGGAGGGGAGGGAGGGAGAGAGGGAGGGAGGGAAGGAGAAAGAAAGAATGAGCAAATGAATCAATAAACTTTTCTGGGATAGAGACGCAGGTCCACACCCTGGCTCTTAGGAGCTGGAAGCAGGAGCATCAGAAGTTCAATGTCATCGTTGGTTACTTAAACAAAGGGTTTGAAGACTGGTGGGAGCCAGGCTGATCCAAGGCTTCCCCTGAGGCCCTGATGTATGGAGAAGGAACAAAGCTCCTTGTCCAAAGCCAGGAGCATACTTGACAGGGCCAGTAATGGCCTGGGGCCAGGGCCTTGGGGGAGCTGGGACTTCACATCTGTTAACCCAACTCCCCTCCCCAAAGGGCTGTCTATGGTTCTCAGTCTGTGACACATTTGAGATATCTGTGCTCCCTTGTTCAACACTGCTTGATTAGCTTCCTGCTGACCTTGTCCCTTTGTATGGTAGCTTTCTGCTGATCCTGTCCCGTTTCCCCTGAAAATTGTATATAAGATGCTGTACTTCTTGATAAACTTGCACGACCCATCAGCTTGTGCAAGCCCTCCTGGTCCTAAACTTTCCTGTCTTTACTTCTTAACCCCTGGTTCTCCTTCTCAGGTACCTGTCACTGCAGAAAAACCTGCTGGTTCAGGTCAGAGGACAGCCTGGGCTTCAAGAGACCCTGTCTCAAAAGACCAAAATAGGGCTGACAAGATGGCTCAGCAGGTAAAAGCACGTGCTATCAAGCCTGATGACCTGAGTTTGATCTCTGCGATCCACATAGTAAAAGGAAAGAACGGATTCCTCTAAGGTGTCCTCTGCCCTTGTGCATGTATGGGCGTGAGCACACACACACACACACACACACACACACACACACACACACACACACTCTCATTCTCTCTCTCTCACACACACAAATAATGTAAAAATAAAATTTAAAAACCAAAATAATAATAATAATAAATAATTTATAACAAATTAACTAACCTCTTGCTAGAGGCAAATCTATCAATCAGCAAACATGGATACTTTGTGTTTCATTATAAAAATTTATTTTATTTTTATTTATTTATTTATTTTTTAAAAAGATTTATTTATTATGTATACAGTGTTTTGTCTGCATGTATGACTGCAGGCCGGAAGAGGGCACCAGATCTTGTTACAGATGGTTGTAAGCCACCATGTGGTTGCTGGGACTTGAACTCAGAACCTCTGGAAGAACAGTCAGTGCTCTTAACCTCTGGGCCATCTCTCCAGCCCTATTTTTATTTTTTTAATTTTGTGTGCATTGGTGTTTTACCTGCATGTGTGTCTGTGTGAGGGTGTTGGATTCTGGAGTTACAGACAGTTGTGAACTGCCATGTGGGTGCTGGGAATTGAACCCAGGTTC